TGTCTGCAAATACCCCACTCATCCCTACCGCATCCCCATAGGACAGCACAGGGTCGAAGAGGCTGTCCAGGTAGCAGTCCAGCCCTCTGTGGGACACAGCAGGCTCTCCAAGGCTGTCTAAGTCTGGCAGTGGGGGACACACACAAAAGTAAAGTTATTTTCTCCTGCTAATCACCTACCCAGCCCCCAGGTTCCCTCCCCACCAGAGACAGTGGCCACTGCTGGCTGACCTCGGTGGGCGGTTGTACCTCTCTGGGCCTCAGTCTCCCCATTTGCACTGTCCTCATTGTGGCTGCAGTACCCATTGGAGTCAGCGACTTTGGGCACATGCCCCTGTGGCTGGGGCCTAGTAGGGGTGTCCTCGTCCGAGTCCCAGCTGTTCCCAAACACCCTGTGGGAAAGGTGAACACAGAGCATCTGACCCCTCGAGAGACCCAGGCCCTCCCAGCACCACCCCCCCCCAATACAGTACTCTGGAATTGAATGACTCTTTAAGGCAGGGCCCTTTGGTAAGACCCATCTCCTTCTGAACCCTGAAGCTCAAGTTCAGAACTCAGCTGCTCCCAGCAGCCAAGAGGGGCAGTCCTGTGCTGGGACAGGATCTGTATGAGGGGGCCCAGGTAGCCACCTACGCTCTCAGGCCTCCCCTGGTGGCCATGGGCTTTTCTGCACCCACAATGAAGTAGGACTTCTGTCGTGGGAAGTCCCTGAGCAGCTCCAGGTCTGACACCAGGTCCAGCACGTAGTCATGGCCTGCCAGCTCTGCCCACTGAGCCCCATTCTTCATGGCCACTGTCCAGCCCCGCCAGCCGTCTGCCAGCCCCCTGGTGACAGCATATGAAGGGATATAAATGAGGGATGAAGCCAAGAGGAGACTCTGGGATATAGGCAGGCCCCAGGCATGCCCAGAGTGGACCCCATGGGGCCCTTTGCGGAATCTGGCCTCCTTCCCCTCCCTCCCTCCTTCCCTCCCTCCCTTCCTTCCTTCCTGAATAAATATGTCTAAAAGTCATTTGCTTAGGTAGGTAACCTAGGCACCTAGGCCCAGGGTACGCAAGAGCAGCCTGATGAGACCTGTTGGAGCATGAGCCATGTGAAGAGGGTTGAATATGTGGGCTGATGTGCAAGGTGTCAGAGTCCAGGCAGTATAAGGAGGGTGAGGGGGGAGGGCAGCAGTGGCAATGGAGATTGGTTATGTATAGAGGGGTGATTTATTAAGTAAATATACTGAAGATATTAGGAGAAGAGTTACAAATATGGAAATGCAGAAATCAGAATAAATTCTGTGGTGTTGGATTGGAATTGTAGGTGTCAGTGTGAACTCATGTTTAATGGATATAGAAGTAAATATAAACGTGGGTATGCATGTGTGAGTATGTATGTACATACATATTCTCAAGCCTTGTTCATTGAGAGGGCCTGGGATCAATGACACCCCAATAGGATACCGAATACCTCCATCTTGGTTTCTAAATGCTGTTCTCCACTAGAAGGCCATTGTCCGCTAAAAGAAACCAAGGCTCCTTGGAGAAATTGCTGACCCCAAGGCTAGGGCAGGGAAGGTACTAGATGAACCTGGCACATCCTTTATGCCAGAAAGTCATAAGGAAGTAGTCGAAGACTAGTGAAAACATGTCAAAAGGGCATAGAGGCCAGCCTGAAGGGGTTCCCACAGGACCAAAATGAGGACAATTTGAGAATCAAAATAAAGAACAGTAGTAACGTTATAACCCATTGTATAAAATAGGAATACACGCACCTAAACTGATATAAATAGGGAGAGAAGAAAGCTTTTTATTAAAGTGGAATGCCAACAGTGAATGTAGAAAGGATGATGGAATTAGAAAATCAGCATTTGGCAACCATAATAGTCATAATTCATTCAATCAAGAAACATCTATGAATAATAAGTTATTTGGTGAAAATGTGATGAGGAATGGGATATTTACATAGTCTCAAAATACCTCTTTACAAAATTCTTATTAACTAACTAGGGGAAAGGAACAACCTGACAGTGGAAAAACCTGGCAAACACCACTAATCTGTGAATACAGTTAACATCAGTAATGGGACAAATTGAAATTGTTACCCCCTGATGATATGCATAAGAAAAACCCCAGAATCACTTCTGTGCTATTCCTGCTATAAACAAATGCATAAGCTTAATCTAATCAAGAGGAGACATCAAACTAACCCAAATTAAGGAATGTTTTATAAAATAACTCACCTACAATCTTTAAAAGTAGCAAGGTCATGAAAATCAAAGACCTTGAAACTTTTTGATTAAAGACTAACAAGATGTGATAACTAAAAGTATCACTATAAAGAACATTATTGGGACAACTGGCTAAACTTGAATGGAGTCTGTGGATTACATGATAGTAATGCATCAATGTTAACTTCCTGATTTTGATAAGTTGTGAATGCTGAAACATCACATGGGCAACCTATTTTCAGAGTTCAGTGGCAAAAAGCCTTCTTTGTACTGTTCTTGTAACTTTTCTGTTTGAAATTCTTTTTTAAATAAAAAGGAAAAAGTATTAGCAAGGGGGTCCAGAAGAATACCATACTAAACATTGAAACTGGCTGCCAATACCTTAAATTTAAAATCTGATTCCTGGAATTGTGGGTAGAAAAACAGTGCTTTGTGGGAGTAATAGTAGCAATTGTTCTCCATCTAACCACACCCTCCAAGATCCTGCTCAAGACCCACCTCCTCCTAGAAGCCACCTTTGACCTTTCCAGCCCACACTGATCATCCATTTCATACCTGAACTCAGGATATGTATTTTCTGCCTCACTTCCTTGGCCCTTAATCATATATAGCCTTGTGACTTCTCTTGTACTATTATTGTCCTATATAAATTTTGAGTTCTTGTGTAAAACTTGTCATGAATATGTTATCTCCATAATTATGTTGTAATCAACTTAGGAGTAGATACCATATATGATCTTTTTTTCTTCCCAAAGTACCCGCCATATGTTTTGAAATCACATTTCCACATCCCAGGGACTGCCAAGAATAATTTTGCTTAGCAAATTTTTCTTGCATTCCATCTATGTAGCAGACACTGTAAATAATAATTTCTTACATGTATAGAATGCTTTACAGTTTATGCAGCACCTGTACATCTATTATCTGATTTGTTCTACATAACTCTGTGAGGTAGTTGCTGCCACATGATAAACATGCTCAAAGAGGAAATGTGATTTACTGGAAGTCACACAGCTACTTAATAGAATTGGACTGCTAGCCTTGGTCTTCAGATTCCAAGTGTAGGGCATTTCTACACCAACATAGGAAACAGGTAACAAGGCTGGATAAAATGATGGCTATAGGTATTGCATTAGTTTTCTATTGCTACTTTTTAAAATTACCACAAACTTAGTGGCTTACGCAGCACAAATACATTATCTTACAATTGTGTAGAAGAATGGCACAAGTCTCACTGGGCTAAACTTAAGAAGTCAGCAGGGTTGCATTCCTTTCTAAAGGCTCTGGAAGTGAATTCGTTTCCTTGTCTTTTCCATCTTCTAGATGCTGCTGGAGATAAATCATTGGGCTCTGTATTTTATGTTGAGTATTTTCAAAGCAAGCACAGTGCCATCTCTCTGTGCCTTTCTTCTATAATTACATTTTCCTCTGACTCTCTTCCACCTATAAGAACCCTTGTGACTAAATTGGACCTACCCAGATAATCCAAAATAATCTCTCCTCTTTAGGGCCAGTTGATTAGCAACCTTAGTATCTTCTACATCCTTAATTCCCCTTTGCTGTGTATCCTAACATATTCACAGGGGTTAAGATGTGGGCATCTTTGAAAGGCCACTATTCTGCCTTTCATGTGTATGTTCTTGAAATGTTCACTTTTCAAAGATCCATTGAGCACTTTAAGATCTTAACCCATTATGTGAATTGTTCATCCATCTACTAAAAATCAGTAATCAGGTTCCAACAGGACACTTTGTTTATTGATATGTTATTAACTTTTAGAAATTAGATTCTATGAAAAATAAGCCAGAGTTTGATTTACAAAAATTAGCATTTTCAGAGTCCACTGATTCTTAATTCAACAAGTAAGGAAACTGAGGTCAGTGACATGAAGTAACTTGCCCAACAAAGCTAAAAAGTGTCACAGCAGGAATTCAAACTTAGGTTCTATTGCAAAGCTCACAGCTTTTCCATTGTACCATTTTTACACCAAAAATCTCTTTGCCTACGACCTAATAATTCACACTAATGCCTGTGGTTTAAACATTAATTTGTTCCTTTTGGATGACCATCTACTTCTTATGGACTGCCTTGAACATGCAGATCCTTCATTAAATAAGATTATGGATGTACAAGTGTGTTGTAAAGGAATGGAAAACGTGCTAGATGTGTGCATTCGTGTATAAGCAGACAGTTGTAATTTGGAGACGGGTTGGTTCAAGTCCTGACTCTGCTGCTTGCATGATCTTGAACAAGTCCTACACTCTGGTAAACTCCCTTAACCTTAATTTTATCATATATAAAATACATCCTTTGTAGGGTTGTTGTGGAGGTTAAATGCCATAATTCTTGAAGAGCACTTACAACAGAGCTTGGCCCAAAATATGTGTTCCAGAACTGTTGGCAAATGTAAAGATCCTGATGGCTTCTTTACCTAATTCACCTGTCGATGCTGGAATGGGTCATTTCTTGGCCAACCACAAGGTGGAGCTAGAGACATAGGAATGTATGTCTTATTCCTCAAGAGTAATTTTGGAATTAAGGGGGAAAAAGTAGTCACCTTTCTGTCTGGGTCTTGACAGAACAGATTCTATATTCCTTTAAGCCACCTGTCTTCCTCCGTCATGAGAGCCTTTGGGTTCTGTTTGTTTCTTGTTTTTCAAAAAGCGAGAGAGGAACAAAGGAGCTTTCAAATAGACGTTCCTTAATAATGTGAATTTTACTTCTACTTGGAGAAGGTGACTGTGCAGTTATGAGAGAAAACCTTTACTACACTTCATTTTCTTCACCTTTTCCTTTGTCCAGAGGCCAGGGGCAGCATTTGTCTATCCTCATTGCTCCAAAAGGAATACTTATCATTTCTCCTAAAAAGCGTATCGGTTCCCCATGCAAATGGAACTTCTGGAAGTCTATCTTATCACCCTAGAATTCCCAGGATGCAGGTTAGGCTTCAGTTGTTCTCAGGGGATCACTTTGAAGGTATATCTTGACAAGCTTATTAAGAACTCAACGCTATCATTACTTTCAAGCACTATCTTGTAGGCTATGGACCTATTATAAATAAAATCCTAAGAAAAATCACAAACGTTCACTTAAAATTGAAGATATTATCAAATACCAGCCTTTAAAGTACCACTACTTTCAGGACTCATGAAAACATTGCTATAGAAACGGAACTTAGCTCACCCCTTATCTAACTGGATAAGAGAAACCCCTTCATTTCTATGTATAAATAAAGCATTAGCCAAGTGAAGGAGAATAAAAGACCGTCCCAGGCTGAGTTCCAGGGCAAGAAAAAGGTCAAAGAAGAGAAAGCTGTGTTCTTGTAAGTTTGAAGGTAGTACGTGCGGCTCACAGTAAAGGTTGAGAAGGGGATGGCAGTAGTTAAAGCTGGAGAGGCTGGCTGGAGATAAATCATTAGGCCCTGTATTTTATGTTGAGTCTCTTTATCTGAAGGCAATGTGAGCCACCAAAGGACATCAATTTGGGGCAAGACAAGGTTAGAGTCATGCTTTAGAAAGATCATTCTGGCTGCAAGATAGAGAAGACAGGAAGGCAAGACTAGATGAAAGAGG